TTTTTTTTTTTTTTTGCATTACACGGGCCTCTCACTGTTGTGGCCTCCCGTTGCGGAGCGCAGGCTCAGCGGCCATGGCTCACGGGCCCAGCCGCTCCGCGGCATGTGGGATCTTCCCGGACTGGGGCACGAACCCGTGTCCCCTGCATCGGCAGGCGGACTCTCAACCATTGCACCACCAGGGAAGCCCGGCAGATGGATTCTTAACCACTGCGCCACCAGGGAAGCCCAGTACCTTATTTTTTGATCCTCTTTTGTATATGGGAAGTATTTCATAATTCTAAAAAAAAAAAAAAATGAAAGAGAATGTGAACTGCAAAGACTACTAGGCATATTGGGGTCTAACCCAAAGCCGGTTTTATGTTTTTAGCACATTGGAAACCACGTTTGACACCAATGTCACCACGGAGATCAGCGGACGCGGTATCCTCAGCTTGACGGGCAGGCCCACCCCCCTGTCCTGGAGGCTCGGCCAGTCCAGCCCTCGGCTGCAGGCGGGAGACGCCCCCTCGATGGGCAACGGGTACCCACCCCGAGCCAACGCCAGCCGCTTCATCAACACCGAGTCGGGCCGCTACATGTACTCTGCCCCCCTGCGGAGGCAGCTGGCCTCCAGGGGCAGCAGCGTCTGCCACGGGGACGTCTCGGACAAGGCAGGAGATGAGATGGACTTGGAGAGCATCAGCATGGACGCCCCCGGCTACATGAGCGACGGGGACGTTCTGAGCAAGAACGTGCGGGCGGACGACATCACGAGCGGGTGAGTACCTGGGCCGCCTCTCTTTTCACGGAGGAGGGGAGGCGTGGCCCCTGCCTTCTCTTCTGCGGGACTTATTGAAGTTCTCTGGGGGAGAGCAAACTGCCTTCCTCACGTCCTGTTCATTTTGAAGGCTGTGTGCCCTGGAGGGGAGCCTTCTGGGCCAAGAGACGCAGGACTTGGGCCGCAGTCCGGGCTTGGCAGTAACTCGCTGGGCAATTCCAGCCAGGCTCCACCGGCAGCCAGAGTGACACTTGACAACAAACCATATTGTGTCAGTCCTTTAAACCAGACCTTATGCTTAGGATCGAATCCAGACTCCTGAGCCTGGCCTACCTGGCCTACAGGATCTGGCCCTTACCTGCCTCTTAGAACTCATTGTCCTGTACTCCCCCTTGCTTCTGCCGCTTGCAGCCGGTAATTCTTTCCCTCAGTCTCATCAAGCTCTTTCCTGCCTCAGGGCCTTTGCACCGTTTCTCTGCCTCGGTTCTATTGCTCAGATCTATTCCCCTGGTTCCTTCTGGCTGCTCGGCTGGCATCTCTTTGGAGGGGCCCTCCTTGACCCTTCAACTTGAAGTCCTTTATGTGACCTGCCCCAGGCCTAGTTTCCATCACCGTGTCTTATGCTCATTTGGAAGCTTATCGCTGTTTAAAATTATCCTGAGGATGGGTTTATATTTTATCGTTTCCCCGCCCGTTCCTGCTTACAACAACAAGCGCCATCGTGCAGGGACTTGTCTGGCTTGCTCACCATGAATCCTCAGTGCCTTGTACATGTAGGAGCTTATAAACGTTGCTGAATTGGTGAGCACGCGGCTCGATGGATGAAGGAGCAGACCCAACCTCCCTGTAACATGTGAAGTTGAGGCAAGTGATGAGATGATGTCTGAGCCAGGCCGTGACCATGTGTGGCCCAAGGCTTGGCTTCTTGTTTTTGCCACACTTACAGATCACTGTGGAAGCTGAACGAGCCTCCGTTTGCTCCACTTTCTGTGAGTTCTTCATCTGTTAACCCGGCTTGCCCAGAAGCCCTTCAGGACCTTCCCCACCCCCGTCTAACATTCTAATAGATAAAATTACAGGTAAAAAAATTAGGCATGATGATCATGCCACTCATTTTCCTGAATGTAATGATCAAGAACCCCATGGGTGAGTCAATGTTTTCATAATTTTAACAATAGCTCATTATGCTACTATGTGCCAAGCACTGTGCTAGGTGCTTTATATATATGTTATCTTCTTCTGTCCTCACAGCAGTCCTTTGAGATAGGTGATATCATAATCCCCATCTTCTGGAGGAGTAAACTGAGGCTCAGGAAGGTTAAATAACTTGCCCAAGTAGTTAAGAAGCAGAGCCCAGGGCTAGTTCCTTAACCACCGAACTGCCCCATCTTGCCCAGCATTGTATTGCTGTGTTGAAATAGCACAGCTACTTGAGTTTATTTTAAAATTGTTTTGCTTAGTTCTACCTGTCTTACTAGAAGTGCTCTTTCATTTAATTAGAAGCTCAGACATAGAGCTGCTTTGGCTTTTTTGCCTGTTACTTTTAGAACCATCCCATAGTGAAATCTTCAAAGACAGGAGCCACCAAACCCTTACGGAGTAACACGTTTCTGCTATTATCCAAATGGCTGGGAAAGTTAATGGCCTGATAAATCAAATGATCCAGTTAACTTAGAGCATCGTTTTGTGTCTCTAGTTTTACATGAACATGAAAACAGTAACATATACCTGTTACTAAAATTACATGTAATTTAATCTTTTATTATTCTTTAGAAGACCGTTGGTATTCAGCATGGCCTCAAGGTTATCATTATCACTTCCCGCTGTGATATACTACCAAAATACTTCGGGGTTATTTTGAGATTTTCATATTTTTTTAAGAAAGTTTATTCTCTTGTCAGGTCAGCCTTTTAATAAATGAAGATGTATTTATTTTTATGTACTACTGACAGTTTCCACAAGGTGGAGACATTGAAACACCGTAAACTGAACCTTAGTGATGTTACAGTGAGACATTCCTAGTTTCTTCAGCTCTTCAAACCAAAGCCTTTACCCCTGCTAAAAGGCACAAATGTTTACATTTCACTCTCTGCTTTGGGAAGCTTACATTTTTAGCAAGTGAGATAGTGCTTAGAGCAAGTGTAGATAAAAGTGTGGAAATGTAAGCAAACACCCAATTACTGAAATTGGAGAACTCTGGTCTGTTTCCAACTCCCCCCCCCCCAGCCCCACCAATTCCTTTTAATGTAGAAATTTACCTACACGATGAGGAGAGGCAGCCCAGATGGCATTGAGCACTCCTTCTAGTTGTGACATTCTAGAGTGCTAGTTTAGCATGACTCCACACTGGAAATACACGCGAGTTTCTGCTTTGAGCCCAAGTTATAGGTTTGCCTGTATGTGCAGAGTTCAGGGCACGCCATTTAATATCCTTTGTACTCAATTCTTTTTCCTTTTATAAACATGACAAGGTTGTAGATATTGAATGACTGGTCGTTTAGTCTGTACTTCAGAATCTGCCCAATAAGTCATATTGCTGAGGCAGTTGGTGTAGTGGAAAGAAAACAGACAGATACCGGACAAGCTTGAATCCCGTTCTGCCACTCGCAAACTCTGTAACATTAAGCACGTCATTTAACTTCCCAAAGCCTCAAAGCACTACAGTTAATTTGGTTTTTAACCTTCTACAATTAGATTTCTCTTTGAGGTTGTATCTAATTAATGGCAAGTATCTGATAAAGACACACAGTTTTCAGACAGGGTTTAGATGTCTTATCAACCTCAAAGGTCCCGGCGCTTGGAAACAATGAAATGATTACAGTTTTCATCCAGATGTTTGTTTGGCTTAGTGGAAACAGCCTCGATGTATGAGTAATATATAAATCAGTATTGAGGCCCTTTGAGGAAAGTTCTCGTAAAAGTTGACAGCAAGTTTAGTTAGCAAGACTGAGGTGGAAGTAAATTCTAGTTTCTGAAAACGTATGGCCTTTGTTTTTAAATGACAGTGGACCTCAGCTTGGTAGAGCAGCTGTTTTTTGATGTCTCCGGCTCATTGTCTCCTTTGGATATGACTGCACGCGCACCTGTGTGTATCATTCAGTTCTCCCTGAGGTAGGGCTGAAGTTACTTGATTTCCTTGGAGTTTAGCTAAGGAACTAATGGCACACGCCTTTGGTCTGTGTGTGTGTGTATTTATTAAACCCTTCTATCGCATTTAGTATGTGCCAGGCGTGTCTACGTACTGTGCAAGAAATCGTCTGACCTCACCACTTCATTTTATTAGATTGATAAATTGGGCTTCGGCTGTGGTTAGTGGAAAAGGAATTAAAGAAACAGACAAAGATGTCTCTTACCAAGTTTTGGTCTGTGAAGCCAGTCCATCTACTCACCTAAAAATTCAGGGTGCCATATGGTATAGAGTGAAATTAAAGGGACAGACTTAGTGTCCATATGTTCGGAAAGATTTTTTTTTTCTTTTCAAAGGAGTCAGTGAGTTGTATAATGTTCCAAAGTATGAATATACCTCCCTTCCTGGAAAAGAAAAAAATGACCGTTCAAATTTAACATTAGAAGTTTCTCCGAGAGCCTTTGATGGCTTCCCATTGCCTGTGGGAATACATCTCAACTTCTTAACTGAACAAGGGAGGCTGTTTATGGTCTTTCCCTCAGCTGCCCTCCTGCCTCCACCCTGTCCACGTCCCTCCTCACACACCCCAGCTCCCCAGTGCCCTAGGCTACATGCCGTTTGCTACCAAAGGCTGTTTCCTGCATTTGCAAAGCTTTGTGCCACAGGACCTGCCTCTTTCTCCCTGGAATTTCTTTCCCCTCAAGCTTATCTGACTGATTTTAAAAAAAAACAAAAAAAACCCAAACAAGCAAACAAAAAAAAACACCTCCTCTGTGATGCCTTCCTGGACACCCCCCAGTCAGTTAACTCTGTCTGGTGTGTTTCTGGTGGTCTTGGTTCACACCCAACCTTATGTGTGAACCTTCGCTTTGCATGGGAAGTGTTCGATAGGGAGCTGGATGGTATTGAGGAAAGAATATGGTCTTAAGAGGCAAGCAGATTTGAGATTTAATCTTGGCTCTGCCAAATGAACTGGAGCAAGTTTTTAACATTTGGGAATTAGAGATAGAACTTGAAAAACACCCGGCAGAGTCTGGGATGCACAAGAAACATCATGCACAATGTGTGCGTGTGCGTGTGAGCATGTGTGTGTGCGTGTGCGTGTGTGCGTGTGTGCGTGTGTGTGCCTTTCCTCCACCAAACATGGAGCTCCCAGAAGACAGGTAGTGCCCATTATTTGTCTAAACTGAGACTAGCATAAGTAGGAATTTAATAAATATTTTGTGAATGGTCTATCCTTCATGCCAACCCTCACGGGACCCTGGGCTTGTATAACTTGCTACCACCAGCTGTGAAAGTCAGTGATTCTATTTACAGAACACTTGGAGAAAATCAATTTAGCCTCTGGTCTTTTTTTTTTTGGTGTGATGCATAGCTCCATCTAGTGGCAAATATAGGGTGTGATGCTGTGGTTTTGATTGCTTTTGACTCAAAGAGTCAAAGTCTTATATTGGTTTAAGACTCAGGGCTGGTGTTATTCAAGGATGAGAGAATGGAGAATGCAGTTGGATCATCTTTCAAATGTGGCCTGACCAGAAGTCTAGTGCAAGAGAGAACGTGGGGTTGTGAGCAAGCTGGTCTTCAGAGTTGGCTTTTTGATGGCTAAATTCTTCCCTGTTAGGTGTCAGGGATTACTCAACAGATACCACATGTGCCTGCTGGGAAACTTCATCCCTCAGAAGTTGAGGAACCCATCCCTGCTGAATTACTTGTAGCTCCATAAATATGTCATGGCATGTCTTAGCTCAGGCTGCTATAACAAAATACCGTAGACTGCGTGGCTTAAACAACAGACATTTATTTCTCATGGTTTTGGAGGCAGAAAGTCCATGATCAAGGTACCAGCATGGTTGGGTTCTGGTGAGAGCCCCCT